TTTCTGTGGAACAGGTCCATGTTTTAACAGCAACAGAGAAAAAGAAGAGAAAAAGTAGACTTCTCAGATTTAAAATATTTGGAAAGATTTTGCTCTACTTAATGTCATAAGCAATTTCAAAGATGGGGAAAACACAGACCATGTGACATTACTACAAGACATAACTACAAGAACTAAGTGTAAAAAGAAACTGAATTTTCACAAAGAAATTTAATTCTCTCCCTCTATCAAGCATTATTTTGTATTACTGCATGACACAAACTGGGTGACAACAGATGTAATACTATAGATAACTTCACAGTCTTTACAATGGTGTTCCCTTTCAGTGGAAACTCCAGGGTACTACATGTAGTAGGAATACCAGAAAAGCACACTGAAACAGAGAAACCTCAATACTGGACGAAGACAAGGTTCCACCAAAGCAATTCCCATTAAGGCAGGCAGACAAGAGGTCATTTTCCTCCTCCCATTTCCCCTAATTTTTATTCTAACAGATACATCGGCTATATCCAGGCTTTTTGTTGTTTAAATGATATCATGACACATTTTGTTTACTTTAGAAAGGCGCTAAGTCAAATTTTTTTCTAGCCTCCACACGAGAATTTTTCAGGCCCAAGATCACTGTCACCTTTGTGCGGATGTCACTAGTTCTGGAGTGCACTTTAGAAGACAGGGCTACCACCACCTACATTACGCCAGCTACAAGGAGGCTTTCCAGGCATAGCCAAAAAAGGTCTTTCAAATTATATTTCACCTAGTATCATGCATATCCTCACTAATTTCCATTTTCTCCATCTAAGCTACACATCTTTACAAGTATCATCAAAATTGAGCTGTATTTCTTTGAATTTCCCTTGTCTTCTATTGTCATGTTAAGCCTAAATAACTGCCATGTGTAAGCCTTGCTCCCTCTTTATAAAGAACACAATACATATGTAGGGTTTTCTCCATTTTAGCTAGACTTCTGTAACTGACAATATTTTGCCTTTTCTCTAGAATTATTTAGCTTTAAAGTAAGGTCATAGTCCTATCTTCCTCCACTCTCTCTTCTCCTAAGTTACACGGAAGGTAGTATTGCCCTGGAGCAAATTCTATATTGAAGACACCCAAAAACGTATTTCAATAGACTCCTTCCCCTTCATTTTATGGCTGCACAGCTTAGTCACAGACTAACTCTGAGTTTACAAAAGCAAAATTATGGCTGCTGTGAGAGCCTGCCTACAAGTATTATATGCTCACAAGGTCATTCAAGCAAATAAATTCACTTGCTGTGAAATAAATTATAATACAACCATATACAGAGACTAGGAGTTTATTATAATTAAAAGAAGTCTAGGCATTTATATGAATAATGATGACATCTGTTATAGGTATTTAACAAGCAAAAGATATAAATCCTTTGCTGTCCAGAGCTAGCTCTGTAACTGATAGATGGAATTAACAACCTATCCACAGTCAAGCTAGCCTTTCACTGCACAACTAAGAATTTTTTTTGTCTTCATCTGATCAGCTACTGGCCACTGTTACTGACAGTAATTTCTGCATACCCACATAGAAGACAGCAGATTTTTTAATACCTGCAGAATTCCTTCTGTGAAAGGGAACTGTATACAGTGTACCATTTTCTTGTCACATTCTATTGTTTAAACCTGATTAGGAATGTTTCTTTTTCACTTTATAAAATATTTGTATTAAAATATCACCAAGAAGTGCAGTCAGGGCATGTAATTCGCTGCATTAGGCACTGTGCAACATCTGACTATGCCACTTGCTTTACCCATCCATACACTGAATTGGATTGTATAATATGAAGAATCATTGCTAGAGAAGCAGCTAATAGCTTATTCAATGGACTATCACAGTTCTGTTTCTACTTTGCTAGAGAACCCAAAGAAGTGTGTTGGGAGGTGGAGGAGTTGCAGAAGAAAGTTTGGGGTTGTTTTTTTTTTTTTTTAATATGTATTCATATACACACACACACACACATTAATCACATTTAATCTCTAGAAATTACAGAGGGAATTCAGTTTTTCTTTTTACTGTCCCAAAGTGGGAGGTTAATTTCAAAGAATGGGAAAGTCCAACACAGAGGAATTTTAGATCTACTTTAGCTTTAAGTAGAGATCTCAGTGAAAATATTACCAAATGCTTTCAGAGTGAAGTTCCTAACACCATCCACTGAAGCTGGAGATCTGCAGACTACTAGCAACTTAACAGTGTTCAATAAAAAAAAAAACCCTTCTCAGTAAAAGCTACTGTTTCTTGTAGTTCCTCTGATTGACCTGTATTTCTATCTAATCCCAAGATTTTATATTTTTATCATATCTTTTCCCATCACTGCAAAATAAACTTCAAGACACATCTAAGTAAAAGCTGTAAGTGAACTAACATAGATTTGCTGAGGAAATATATGTTGAATACATATACCTAAACAGGCACACACACGTTTGTGTCCCCCAAACATACACACAGAGTGTAACAGTACATAAAAATAAATGGCCAGTTATCCCAAGAATCCACCCAGAATAACCTATAAGCAATAAAAGGTATATTGTATCATAGAAGGTGCAAAGCTTTCACAGTGATATCACAGTGCTGCAGATTTCAACAAAGCAGAAATTATATTGTACCACACGTACAACAGAAAGGTAACAAACAACAGGAAGAATTTTTCCCTGAATGAGAGCTGAAAGGGATATTCAGAAATACCTGGCTAAAAACACAAATTACTATTCATCTTGGCCATGATCCCCAATTCAAAAGCAAGCCTCCATGATGCAGAGCTCCCTGTCCAATACCAGGCTTTCACACCACTCATGTCTACCGCCTATTTACTACCATCAGATGTTGTAGTACTTCCCAAGCCCTCCCAAAGCTTTCCTATCTCACCACCAAATAACCAGTGCCCAGTGTCTGTTCCCCATGCTTCCCACCCTCCCGACGCCACAGAGCACTACATCACACTTCCCATCTTTCTGAAGCACAGCATTTCCACAACCTCACCCCAAGTCGCCGTAGCCTCACTGCTCTCCTGCTCCACGCCACCACCACCTCCACCCTACATCTGCCACACATCCCAATGCTTTCCAAGGCCAGAAGCACAGCACGGTGCTTCCCCAGCCATATTCCAAAATCCAGCCTCCGTGCAACACACTACCTTCCCACTGATTCCCACTGCGGAACCCTGAAATGCGTTCACTCCAGCCACTGCGCACTCTCCTCCCCTCTGAACAGAGCTACCCCATACCCAGTAAGCCACCACCTCATCACACAGGACAGACACCTCCAGTCCACCACTCCTCAGTGGGGTGTTCCCATCCACTTGGGTGCTGGGCGTCATGGCCAGCTGGGAGGCAATAAGAATTCAGACCAGCCAAGGTGGGCAGCAGAGCATAACAAAGAGCAGATAGCCAAAAGATGAGGGAGGGATGCAGATGGAGAGGTAAGAGAGAAGAAAGGAAGAGATACCAGGAAAAGAGAGGGAGAGAGAAATGACAGTAGACAAGGGATAAGGTAAACCTGGCCATAAACCATCCAGAATTAAGGATTAATTAAGGATTAAATTAAGGACCACAAGCCTTGGCTCCCCCCCTACGGACTGTAGGATGAAACTCAAAAGGGCTTCCTAAGGGGACACGTTTCCCTTCATCTTTAACAATAATAATTACTCAGACTTTTCTAAGCTTCAGGAAAAGACCAAGTATTTGAAAACAAGAAACTCAAAAGACTGTGACACTTTACAGAAGAAAGTGGAAGCTCTTTTTTAAAACGGTGAAAGAAAAAAAAAAAAGAGAGGAAGGAGAGCAATAAAAGGCATTTTCTTTAAAAGAAAGAAATCCTAAAAATGACACAAGATAAACATCTCAGATTTTACCATTAAATTGTACTAATTATTTTAATAGGATCTAAAATTCAGATTAATCCCACAAGGCTTGTAATTCAGGTAGTTAAAAGACAGTATTACTTTATATATCCGGAAGATGTGAGGGGAGACCAAAATGGAAAGAAAATGAAAAATTAGAAAAAATAGAAAATTAGAAAAAATATTCTAGCTTAGAATGCTACAATTACTTAAGTGCTTCAGTCAAACTGATATACTAAATAAATACAAAAACTTTCCCTTTGCAACACAGCATCTGCTAATTATAAGACTAAGTCACTGTCTAATAATTTTTTGATTACACAGTATAAAAAGAGCAGTAGTGACAAATATGCACAATAAACCTCAGGATGATTCTGAATGTTTGATAGTTCGGCCCTCCCACAACCTATTTTTGGAAGCCAAAATTTGAATACCATTAAACTAAAGGAGAAACAGCTGGCAAGATACCATATACAACACCAGCGACTGATCTCTAAGACTAATGGGATGTTCCTCACTGCATCCTGCAGCACAGTGCGGAAGTACACAAGCTAGCTCAAGTACAGAAAACAATCTAGCAACATAACATGAGCTTCATGAGAACTATTTCATCATTCTTCCTAGAAGCCAATAATATACAAGGTAAATTAGTCACTACTGCAGCAGAATGCTTCCAGTATCTGAATTAGGTTAGGTATCTGTATATCGTATCACATACGGCTTTCATAAGGTCGCAGGGCCAATAATTTTCTTTTAGGATTTAAACAGTAATTCAGACTATGCCTTATTGCAGTGAATGTCTTCCAAAAGCTAAATATATATCTCCTGCCTCTGAAGGCGTTTTATACAAACACAAACCAATAAGAAATTAATTGCTTCACAAAAAAAATGTTGCCCAGAAGAACACAAGTTATTATCATAGAATTTTCATGTTATTAAATACTTCTATCTACAGAAGTCATATGAAAAAATTGAAGGTACTATTGAGTTCTGTCCATACTATTTCTCAATTCAAAGTAGACAGCAAGAACCATAGTAAAAAGTTTTGAGGGTTTCTTTGTTTTTTAAGTCAAACGCTAGTGTGAGTCATACCAGTGCAAGCTAAAAATGCCTCTAAAAGTAACTAAGAAGGACTCACCAAGTTCATTGAGACTCTGGGCAGCTTTTGTTATCTCTCTGCTTCCTCCTTGCAGTTGCCCTTGAAGTCTCTTACTGAGATACAAGATGCGTATTATCCTCCGCAGCAAGTCACAGGCAGCCTGCAGAGAAATCATAGCATTAAGGGGATATTATCAGTACATTACGATCACATAGTATTAGGCCTCAAATATGGAAATATTTTAACCAAAAAAGGAAATATGAATGTGAATAAAAACAAGGAACTTTAGAACACTGAAATCCCTTTTTTCAGAATTTTTAACATAATTTTATGCAATATAGACCAATACTTTCAAAAGCTAGTAATAACATTCACAGAGATTATGCTGTCATTACTAGTAAAAAAAAAAAAGGAAACTCAGAACCCTATGACAGAGACATGTTCTATTTCTAACTAGAAGTGAGCTTTATTTTACATTGTGCATCTCTCCTCAATATTCCTCCCTCTGCAAGCTTTAGTAAAATTAAGAAGTTGGCCTTGCCAATCAAATATTGATCCGAACAGTTCACATTCTTTCATAGGTTTATTAAAATACATGGCGTTCTTGGCTAACAATTAAGAATATGGATGCATATGTAAATTTTCAGGAAACATATTTCTGTATGTTTTCGTTAGCACCCATTTAGAAAAAAAGGCATTGCTGACATCTGAATCAAACATAGTAGTTTCATAATTTTTCCCTCAACAAAGATTTTGAAACAGGTCTTCTCCTTCTACGCAGTAAATAATAGAGACAGAGAAACAGTAAGAGTTACATCAAGTGTAGAGTTCCTCCAGGGCTGGATTGGGTCAGTGGGGCTAGGAGGTACATGCTACAGGAGAAGCAACATTCTGGAGTGGGTAACATCTAAACTAGAATTCAGAAATGCAATTCAGGAGAAGGTAAAAAGTGTGGGGATTTCAGTACAATCACAGGTGCAGTCCATCATCTGCAATCAGATTAACAAGAGAGGTAAATGAGAAATTTGGAACAAGTAAGACATACTTGTTCTGAGGTATTTCCCCTGGTACTGAAGACAAAGCCTCCTGAAATATTTACCTTATGGATATCAAAATTAAATTAAAATTACTTTAAAAAATATTTAATATCTGACAGACTTTGAACGTCTTTTTTAGACTCAAGTTAATGTCTTGAAAACTAATGTTAAAGTACACATATGAAAACACACACAAGTGAGTCATTTCAACCAATACTCGGTGGACTGCACAACTTGTCAGTCTCCTCCCTATGCCAGCACAAACCAATCAAAACACAAATATTTATAGTTTAATTTTATTAAACATCAAGACAAAACAAAAAGGAAAAATTAGAAAAAGCCCCACTGAGGCAAACCACTGAAAGCACACTCTCGCTGCTTTTGGCTCTGTATCACGTAAGTCTGAAGTGCAAGTTTCCTAAGCATTCTAAGGCAACTTAACCACATGATTTCTATTACCATTAGTGAGAACCAAGTGGGGCTTATCCTACTTTGAGAGATTAACGTATTAGTTTTTATTAATTCATTTCTTTAATTAGAAAAATCTTGATTGACATATCACTTTCATATCTGTGAACTAAATTTCTGCAAGATGAATCAAAAATAGCTTTTTATATAGTGCACTGTGCTTCGCCAAATAAGAGGGCATAGTATTACTACTTTGCTTTCAAATTTAATTACTCTCTAATCCAATTGTGTACCTCTGGCTAATGTTTTCCCCTAGGAATTCAACTTCAGTTATCTTCTGACCATCTTTTACTTTACATGCCAAAAGATTATTTCTTTTTCATTTGATTGTTGCTCATTATCTCCTATCCCAAGAAACAATCTTTTAAAAGGACTATCAAACTGAATAAGGGATGGGCAAAGTTACATTTAGATATGGGAGCAAAAAAAAGTTTTAACTTCTGGCCCTGTGAATTAGAAGGAAGGAGAAAAATCCAAAGACACCGAAGATGCACTCTTAACTTCACAGTGATTGCTACTGCATTGTGCCCTTGACAAAGATTCTGTTTCACCCAAGTATTTCCATTTACATGAGTTGTTCAACTTAATAAAACTCCCAATCGCTGTAAAAGAATGCAAAATATAAGGAACGTGTAACGGAAATAAAAAATTTTATCTAATAGTGGAGTTGTTCACAGATGCTAGATCTTCTAACCTGACCACCTGCATAACAGAAGTTTGACTTAATTCAGGAAACATTCCCTTCCTGAGTTGATATAGTATGCTTTTCGAAAGGAGAAGCTTTCATCCAAGAAGGAATTAATTCCACTGCTCAAGCAAGAATTAATTTGGAAAAGGCCAGTGCCCTGAGTTGGTCCCAGTGGTTTTAGTAACATTAAAAATAAAACCCGATTTTTCTGGAGATTACATGTTAGTTATCTCCTGAAATTTAAAGCAACATATCAACATTAACAGACAATATTGCTACAATTCGAGTAATCAAATACCCTCTTACTCTTAATCTCAAGTTAAGAAATTATCGAAAGAAGACTTAATTATAAAGAGAGGACCACTTGAAAATGTGCCCGTGCGTAGCTCATATATGCAATTGCATATATCTAGATCATAATGTAATTGAATGTATATATAACAGAAACCTGAAGAAAGATGAGACAGTCCACTATCTTCAGACTACATTTACTATTTAGCTATGGTAGCACCTGGATGAAATCTGCTACTGGTGAATATTTTAAAGAGAGAATAACTTTAAAATACAGAATGATTATTCTTCTAAAAGGTTTTAAAAATTTGGCTCTTATAAGGATTTTTAAACACAGATATCTGAAATTAAGAGAACATGTAGAAACACTTGGTTAAACAGAGCTGCACAGAAAATAACCCCCTGAAAGACAAACTCTGCCTATATATTTCAGCTGTTAACTATTCCCATTTAGCTTGTGATCTACTATGGAAAGACTCAGAAGAGGACAGTATGATTTAAAGTAGGAAGTAAGCTTTGTGAATCTGCCGCTCCCTTGGGATGCCATGAAGCTCTAAGAGCAGAGCAAGACATAATATACATAAGCACACAGCAGAGGTTTAGAATTCAGGACTAGATTTGAAGTTTGACAATGAATTTGCAGTGAGAATGTTTATGAAAAAGCCAGACTATATTAAAAACAATTAAGGATGGCAAAATCCAGCTTCATGCAAGCCAAATATTCCTTCAGTTTGTGAGCAGTCCCACAACAATCAATGTAGAAGCACTAAAATAATACCATCATGAGTACAAGAGGCCCTTAAACACCACACAGTTCAGCAAAACCTACCTGCCAACCCTACAGGTTTTGACAGAGAGCAACCTCTGTTATCAGTCATCTACCTTTTTCTACTTATTCTACCAACTGTACATCAACTGATAAAATTAGCAAGTTTGGAAGTGTCCCATGCCACAAGTCTTGCATTTGGGAGCAATTTCATGTCCTAAGCCCTGCCACTGCTGGGAAGTGAATTGTTTGCTGTGCTGTTGCCCTTCCTTCCTGAACAAACAAGGCAGCCAGGTAAAGAGACAAAACAGCAGTGCATCTTGGGGAGGCAGGAGGGTTGAAATTTCAAAGGCCTATTGACTCAACTCTTCCTAAGTCCAGCTTCATCTCATAATTCAGGTGTCCTGACCCTCAACTCCTCCCAGCAGTGTAGTGCAACATAAAGCACTCGCTATGTATCTGCCAATACAAGAAGGGACAGCAGCTCTTGTGCTGAGAACGGACTCTCACTGGCAGAGACGCTGGAATCATCATTCCTCTTTCTACACTGAGGTAAGTGGATTTGGATGCTAGGAAGGGTAGCCTAGCAGGCTCCCCTTACCCTGCACCTCTTTTTTCTGACTTAGAGCCAAGAAAAACCAGATATTACAAATTCCCTGGCACAGGCTGAGTAATGCTGCTTTCACAGCACAGGAAAATCCATGTAACCCTGCTACAGCAAAGAGGAAGAAAGAGCACCCAAGAAACATTTCCTAGGTTCAGGGACTCATTCTTCTCAGACATCCTTCTGCAGTTTGACTTTGTGTAAGGTCAGGGCAGAAATGATCTTCATCTTTAGCCCCAAATTCCCACAACCCTTTCTACAGCTGCAACATACATCAGAGAACAAAATAATCTGCACCTAACCTGCCACATGGAAGTCATGGAAGTTTTACCCAGTAGCATAAACAGTAACAGCTGGAGTTGAAAAGAACAGGAGAAGCAGCTGGACAAACTGGCTGAACAGAGTGTTAAGAGCTTCCTGCTGAACTTCACGGCTACTGAAAGTAATGTAGAAAATAGTAGAACTTCAGCTGAGAGACTAGTGCAGCTGCTCCACCAGCCCCCAAACTAGAAAGTGCATGACAGTTTGCAGCTTCATCTACTCTGCTGTACAACAGCAGTCACCCACAGATGGCAATCTACTTGAGTGTATATCCACAGCTCAAATTTCAGCTACTAAAAGATAAGTTCCTAGTTCTGCAAAGCTAAGGTAAACTTGTGAAGACAAATAGTTCAAACAATAACTCATGAAACACTTGTGGATTTGGAGTTGTGTTGCTTTCCAAACCATAAACTGAATAGAATGCAGCTACATGACTAAAGATCTATGGAAGAGTTTTCAACTATTATAAAATTAACAATGGAAGCGTTTTGACACTTATCTCACCATCATTGTGATGAGCTCTCTCCTACTGCTATCCTCTTAACAGAGATCTACATTCTCCTGTAGACTCCACTTATATTCAAAAGACAGGGACAACTATGTATCTGGGCTTATAAAACTCCAGAACAACAATTGGCTCTGTAAGTTGCATCTTGACTATTTTGAAAGAATTAATTCCCAAACTCTTTACTAAGCTGCAGTTAAGCATGCATTAACTTAGAGGAGAAAAGCATCTTCTACACAATGGCACCATAATATTAAATACAAAAATTACACAGAGTGATGAGAATTTAATTAATCTGTACTCAGATAATCCTTCCCTCTTCCCTCCATCTCTACAAAAACTCACTTAGCTAGTGCAAAGGTCAGTTACCTACTTTGCAATACAAAGCACTTCTCAGTAGCTCATGAAGGGACACACAAATACTGACTTTCATTGCAAAATACTGACAACGAACTACAGGCTACTGGAGTATGAAAATCCCACCCATGTCTGACAATTGGGAAACAATTCAAAAACACGTTCAAAAAGATTTTTAAAAAAATACATTTTTAATAGAACTTACTTGAAGTTTTGCTAGCTGAGCTGTGCGAGACACTATTTTGTTGTAGGGGTCAACAATTTTGACTCTAATTCTAAAAATAAGAAGAGAAAAGTATTTATAGCAGTATTAATAAATAACTTGATAGAACAATTAAGAATTTATACTTTCTAATCGCGTAATGAATGGCATACCTATCAACAGTACTTTGTAGAGCACCAATTCTAGTCTGCATCATTTGGAGGACACCTGCAAAATAAAGCAGATTTTTACATGGAACACTTGTCAATTACAGAAAGAACTATTCTTCAAATCTTAGTAACTACTGCAGACTACTTTAGCATAAAAAAAAGTTTCCCCCTTTACAACAAAGCATTCAAACAGATTGAAATGAATAAAACACAGCATATTTGGAAATAAACCGAGCAGGTAATAGGTCACTTACTGAATGTTATGGAAAATGTATTGGTAAAGAACACAAACCTACAGAAGTATCACTCTGAAATTCATCATATGTTAAGTTTTAAATAATATTTAGAGCATGTTGCTTTCTAAGAGAATGATGATCAGGACTGCTGCTCAAAGGCATATAACCTGGTACAAACACCTGAACATGATATACAAAAATGGCACAACCTATTTAACACTATGTATTTAACATAGTGACTAGACAGTTCAGAGAAACCAACAAAGAGGACTGAGAAGATAACCAATTCTATTTCAAGGTTTTCTTCCTGTGCATAAGCATCTTTAGCAAAAAGTAAGGTATCAATGTCATTGTGAGGTCATCTAATTTCGATTACAAACAGAGCAAACTACCCTAATCATGTTTGTTCCAGATTAGTTTGGCAAAGCAGCACAAAGAAAGCCCACAAGCATGCTTGTTCTTTCCTTGTTAAATTGCAAACAAAGTAGTCACGGGTAGCAGTCATTTTTGCAATATGGAATCAGCCTGCTGAGAATTTAATTAAGTTACACAAACCCAGGCCTATGAAATTGTTTTTGTTCCAGTTATTGTTAGCATTCTCAAACATACTACATTTTTGTAAAGCCCTGTTTACAAGCATGTCATCATTAAATTGGATAAAACTGCAATATGATACAGTAAAATGGAAGATAAACATAACTACTGCTAATAGTTTTATTCAGCTTGTCCTGTACTGGGACTGTATCTCACGTATTTTGTGTAAATATGCCAACTCCCATCTTCTCCATATTTCAGAATTATTAACTTGGCTTAGTGACAGACTCAGGAGTTCTCTGACATTTATACATGGAATGGTAGGCATGCAATTCTCACACATCAGAGGATGAAGATATGAGATACAGTGAAAAGTTGGCAAAATAGGCTGAATTTTCTACTCCACATTGCAATTATGGGGGAGGGCCAGTAGCATGACATTGCTGCATCTATGACTGTGACATTGCTATAAAGCATACAGCAGTCCTCTTGCCAGAAGGCAGAATTAGGATGGGTGAAAAGGCAATCTACCCTCTCCATCTGCTGCATAAGATACAGGATGATACTATTTAGCCTATCTTGAGCTAACAAGTAGCTCAAGATATCTATTGAGCTACCTACAGACAGAAAAGAGTATGTATACCAGATCAGTGTACCATTAAAAAAGTGCACAGACCTAAAAAAGAAAGGACTCTACAAGCTGGGTATGTCAATTTGAAACGTTTAATGAGATTCACTTTCACACATCCAAATGATTTTGCATGCTGTGAATTAGCTCCATAATCTTCACTTGCTAACTTTCTTAATAAACATACCAAGAGCTATGTGTTTCTAACTTCATAATTAAAATTTCTATTGACATCCATCTTTTCTTTTTCTTATGAATCTTGACTCAGTGTTTCTTCTACAGTGACCGTATATCACATGCAGCACAAGCAGGGCAGAGATAAGAAAGTTTTGCAAAACTTAAAACATCATCTTTGTGTGCATACACTTTTGATTTTCCTGGCAACTGCAGGGTGAAGTTTCTACTGATGTCTCAAGTACCAAATACTTTCCAGGATTAGAACCTCTGCATGCTTCTCCTTCCCTCACACATAGAAAAGGCCTCTTAAAGAGCATAACCCTATGTAAATGGAAAAATTTCAACAAATTTGAGGTGCATTAGATTTTATTTTTACTTTGGGTTATTAGCTGTAAAACACGCATTATTTACCATGCCTGCCTTACAGAAATGTTTTATAACTGAAGAGTTATTTTGAAGTACTTCATTCTTTCCTCAGAGCAATTTCAGGAAGGAATGCCTTCAGAAACAACCATGATTTCAGAAAACACAATTCCACTGACCACAAATTGCTGAAGATCATGACTGGGAGGTATTTATCAATCACCAGATTGACTACAGATTCCTATCTACTTCTTAATTGGAGGATGAACGCAGATTCCAGTCTTCCTATGCTTAATTTTCCAACTGTTTAAAAAGCTATTCAGGAGCTACCATTGCTAGATTAAATAAGCATTTCTTTATTTTTATAGCTATATGCAAATGATAACGATCAAATACTGTATCCAACAAGTTCCAAAGACTAAGGAGATACTGTAACTGTCAGTAACCAGAAACTCTCTGGCTATGCCAAAACCTGGAAGCAGAAGAAGGAACAAAGATAAATTACTTAGCAAGTTAGAAAATGGAAGGGGAAAAGGGGATATGCTTGGATCCCATAGTATATGCAAATTAGCATGTTATAGAGGGAAATATCTTTCTGCACAAAAAAAACCCAAAACCATATGAATTTCCCAGCAAGTGACAAAGAGCAGAATGGCAGGTCTAATGACCTCCTGGCACAAGAACAATATACTGCATCCATTTTTCTATACAGATTCAATGGTTCTTAAGTAAGGCCTTTGAAAGTCAGCAGCTTGTGTTAAAATCCAGATCCCAAACAGTGGAATAACACAAAGGTATGTATTTAACTTAGTAACCCCTTACTAGGAAAAAAATATCTCAATGCAGTTAAGATGTGTTAAAGCCTCTTTGGTTAAGATTTGCAAACTTTGCAACACATGCATATGCAACATGCACAAACTTGGTACTTAGGGCAACAGATATCAGCTAATGTTGCAACAAAATTAGGCTTATTTAGAAGAAAATATTAAAAGGTCAAAAAGACTTGATTGCTAAAGTTGCTCAGAACTGATTATCAAAATACGTTTTCCTATAAAGTAGTTATTCCAGAGAAGTATCAGCCAAATCTTCTCCCTGGAGCTCCATCTACTGACACCAAAGAAAAGATGCCACATGTTACTTCTCAGAAGTAAGATCCATAGCCTTAACATTAGGGGCCAAAGTTGGCAGTGAATGACGTTCCCTGCACAGGTATTAAAAGTGCTTCCTCCATTGTAAGAAGTAGCAAACATAATATAACGGTATTTACCTTCCAGGGATTCAATTCCAGTTGCTTGGGCCAACAGGTCTTCATGTCTTGCAACAACCTTAAAAAAAACAGAATAGAGAAATCAACACAGAAAAACGGGGATGTGTGCCTGAAAGGAATAGTAACATATAGAATCATAGAATAGTTTGGGTTGGAAGGGACCTTTAAAGGTCATCTAGTCCAACCCCCTATCCCTACATTAGGTAGACACAGGAAAAAGCAGCCACACCTTAAAGATGAAAGGGTTTTCAGAACACGTTTTAATTCACAAAAGCGGCAAGCTCAGAACGAGACCAGGGTCAGTAACTGCAGCGTAGCTGACATCTTAAAGCCAGCAGAGCAATCACATTTCAACACACCTTCATATATAAGAATTGTAAATGTAAGCTTATAAATCACACAGTAATAATGTATATTCACATTTTTAATATTTTCTTTTCTATTTATGACATCTAGAAACCAGTTCCCAAAGAATTTACCAATTGCAGCAGGGAGGAAGCAGGTTTTGAAACTACACACAAACTTAGCATGTGTTCTCACTGCAAGGTCCACTGTGGATTTGTGGTGTCTGCATAGATTTTACGAAAAAGCCTTCTACTATCCAAACTCAAAAGCCTTTCTGAAGGTGTGGAGGTGTGTTAACATAGGTTATATTTGCCCAGCTAAAGCTAAGCCTTAGAGCTTAGGCTACTCTCCAGCACAGGATGAAAGATGCAAGTTAAATCACTCCCTATCTTCTCACAGTTGTCACCCCAAAACAGAGGCCAGCGTTTCTGATAGCTGACATGATCACTCAGAAAGAGTCAGGGTATATAACAGGTACGCTTTAAACTTACTTGTAAATGAAGCTCTTTATCCAACTGACTAATACCTTGGGCAAGTTTTGCTAGTTGCTCAGCTATCACAGCCTGATGGATGGACTGGGAAGTGTAAGCTTTCACATCAAAGTCTTCTCTGAAGAAGTCAGCATAACATTCTGAAAAAGATTTAGATTTTATCTTCATGCTTCAGAACAGTTAAATAATATCTATGGACCGAAAGCGTACAGTTCTCTGACCTTCAATTTCTCCAAATGTAACAGCATATGTTCTCTACATCACATAATACAAATGAGACACCTATTTGAGAAGAGACCACAATCAAGAGAAACAAGTTTGGAGCCGATGACTGGGGGGGAAGGGGGTTGTAAATGGTGAAAAAGACACACGTTTCTTTACTCCCCACAGCCTTTTCTTGAGTAGAATACACTAAAAAGTATCGCTACCTTCTTCTTCAAACTTTACAGTGTAACTAGGGTGAGGCTGTTGAGGTTGTACCCGTAATCAAACACACACCAGTCACCTTCAAATCGCTGAGGATCGAAGTGGCATGAGACACCACTTCATGAAATCGTACCAGACTCTTACAACGGTATTGGTTTATAAAATACTAAATTAAGGAATGACACTGCAAGGATGATTTCAGATCAAGCAAGACCCGAGTTTCCAGGCAGCGCGTGCTAGTATTACCAAGCACCTTCGTCTCTCCTTTCAGTGCACTGTTTTTCCCCTTTAGGAGCAAGCGACCACAGGTGAACACGCCACCTCGCACGACCGCGCCATTAAGACCCCTCTGCCAGCAGCGGGAGGTCTCCTCCCCGAGGAGGGGAGCGCTCAGCTGGCGCGGCAGCACTCCTCCCCGGCGCCTGCCGTCCCTCCGCCGCCGAAACTTCCCGTGACTTCACAGCACGGGGGTTCACCGCCCTCCTCGCCCCGTCCCCGAGCACCGGCGCCTCTCCCCCGGCTCTGCCCGCCCAGCCCAACGCCGCCCTCACGAAGGACCCTCCGCCTTCTCAGGGCCGCCCGCGGACGGCA